CATGAATATGGGCAGTGCGGAGACGGTGTTCAACCGAAGTGCTGCAGTTGTGGGGGGAGTCACAGTGTGGCATATGCTGGATGTGAGAGAATGAAACAAGAAAATAATATTCAAAAAATGAGAGTGGAGAAGAAGATATCGTATGCTGAAGCAGTGAGAGTAACGAAGAAAAGTGTGCAGATTGAACCGGCACAGGATGCACTGCAGGGTCAAAGAGCCCCGCAGATTGACGCAAACTGTATTGTGATTGACAAATTGGCATTAGTTACGTTCATTGCGGGAGTGATAAACGCCACAGCTGATGTGAAATCAAAGCATGAGAAGATTCAGCTCATCGTTAAGGCAGCAGTGAATCCCCTGGAATTAACAGGACTGACATGGGAAGAAGTGAGGGACAACCTCCTACATCAGTCAAGTCAGGAAACATAATGTTTTTTCTTTCAATCATGGTGCTTCTCCTTCAATGGAATGCTAGGAGTCTGATGGCCAATGGCCAGGAATTTAAGAATTTTGTAAAAGAACTAAATGTTAAACCGGATATAATTTGTATTCAGGAATCGTGGCTTAAAGCATCTTTGGACTATGTGTTGTATGGGTATAATGTCATAAGGAATGACAGGGACCGTGGTGGAGGGGGTGGTTGTGTGACATTTGTCAAACAAGGCATCCCGTATAGACTATTAGGGAAAGGCAAGGAAATGGAGTATATAACTATTGAAGTATGGGACAACCGATGGTCGTAGTTAATTTATACAATCCTTGCGCAAGATTAGAGTTACTGCATATTCGGTCAATTGAAGGCTATGATAGCAGTAGAAGTATTTGGTGTGGGGACTTTAATGCCCATAGTACAGTGTGGGGGGGTACACATACAGATATATATATAGAAAAAGCATATATGTTGTGGCGGGATGGGCTTTTAATCAAACTACACAAGTTGGGTGTTGGTGGAAGGATGTTCAATTGGATCCGGGACTTCCTTTCTGGCAGGAAAATCCAAGTTAGGATTGGGTCTACTTTCTCTACCCAGCATGTGGTTGAGAATGGAACGCCACAGAGTAGTGTGATCAGTCCTCTTCTTTTTATCATAATGATTAATGATGTTTTTTCTGATATACCTGAAGGAATTGGTAGATCTCTGTTTGCTGATGATGGTGCATTATGGAAAAAAGGAAGAAATATTGAGCACTTGGTGGACAAGGTCCAGGATGCCATAGATAATGTGGTTGAATGGGGATTTGACTGGGGGTTCCGATTCTCGGTGGAAAAAACAAAAATTATGTTCTTCACTAAAAGGAAAGTGAGTGAGACTTTGAAACTAAAATTGCATGATGAGGAAATAGAAAAAGTGAGCATGTTCAAGTTTTTAGGAGTTGTGTTCGATTCACGTCTGACATGGAGTGGTCATATCGATCGGATTGAAACTAAATGCAAAAAAATAATCAATGTTATGAGATGTGTAGCTGGTAGGGAATGGGGAGCAAGGTGTTCTGCTTTAAAGAGACTATACCAAGGATTAATTAGGTCTATCTTAGACTATGGTTGTGTGGCATACGGGTCAGCAGCTTCTTCAGTTTTGAAAAGATTGGATGTTCTACAGTCGCAAGCCCTGAGAGTATGTTGCGGAGCTTTTAAAACATCACCAGTCAATGCCTTGCAGGTGGAAATGGGGGAAATGCCTCTGGACCTCAGAAGGAAGCAAATGTCTGTGAACTACTGGGTTCATCTTGGATGCCATGGTGACTCACATCCCACAAAAGAGGTGCTTTGGGAGTGTTGGGAATATGGGAAATGTCAGAAGAATCATTTTGGAAAGGAGGGGAATCAGTGGGCTAAAGACTGTAATGTGTCTGAGTTAAAAATGTGTCCAGTATTAGTGTTCCCTGGTGTTCCTCCATGGTTATTTGTAACCCCTTCTGTGGACTGGTACCTTCTTGAAAAAAAAAAGAAAATGAAAGTGAGAGTGGATCTGGTCGCAGCATTTCATTTTCACAGTTTGGCCGAATACTCTGAATTCACGCATGTGTTCACAGATGGTGCAAAAAATCCGGATAATGAATTTACTGGGTTTGGAATAGCGGTCCCGTCAAAAAATATTGGAATAAACCGACGTACTACTAATGGACTGGCAGTTTATACAGTGGAAATGGCAGCAATTTTGGTTGCACTGAAATGGATCGAGCATTCAAACACCAGGCAGGTAGTAGTGTGTTCTGACTCTGCATCTGTTCTTTCGAGCCTACAAACATTTTGTTCAAAAACAAGGCAGGGTATGTTGTATGATATTTTGATGACTGTATACAGACTAAGTTGTAGGGGTAATAATGTCCAATTTCTTTGGGTGCCAGCTCATGTAGGTATCAGTGGAAATGAAAAAGTTGACAGATTGGCAAAAGGAGCGTTGAATAAAAATAAGATTGAAATGGAAATTAAAAGCAGCAAATCTGAAGCAAAAAGTGTTGTTTGGCAACAAGTTGTTAAGGAGTGGCAGAAGCGGTGGGATTCTGGAACTAAAGGCAGGCACCTATATCAGATTAATAAGGTAGTGACTGGGCTTGGAGTGCACAGGGGAAATAGGAGAGAAGAAGTTGTGATCACCAGGCTTAGAGTGGGTCATTGCTCACTAAATAAAACATTACAGATGATAGGTAAACATGAGACAGGGCTTTGTGAATCATGTCAGGAGGAGGAGGAGTCTGTAGAGCATGTAATCCTGCGGTGTAAGGGTTATGATGTGGAGAGAGAAGTTTTGAAGAGTAGAATGATGGAACTGAGAAATAGGGAGTTCACTCTGCAGAATGTTCTGGAGTGTAGTAGGGCACAGATTAGAGATCTGGTGGGGTTTCTGAAGGGTATAGGAGTTTTTGATAGTATAAGACAAAGGTCTACTGTATGTTGCTTTATTTCTGTATTATTATTATTATTTATTTATTTTTGTATACATGATTTAGCCTGTGAGTTCACTGTTTGACCATACTCCAGCACAGGAGGTAGCCTCTTACTGGTTCCAAGAGTCAGAACTAAACATGGGGAGGCAGCGTTTGAGATTTATGGAGCTAAAATCTGGAACAATCTTCCTGAGGATGTGAGGCTAGCATCTACTCTGGCAATTTTCAAATCAGGGCTAAAAACTGTTCTTTTTAGCTGTGCATACGGCTGAAGGATTTTATTGATACATACTCTTTTTTTTAATGCATTGTGGTTATTTATTATTTTAATCCCGTGTGTGCTTTTAATATTTTAAGGTTTTTTTCATTACTTGTGATTTTATTCTGTTTTTAATGTATTTATTGTTTGTATATGTAGTTCTTGATGTTTCTGATTTGTCTGATATTATGTGGGTTGTGAGGCACTTTGAGTGGCCTTGTGTTGGAAAGGCGCCATACAAATAAAGTTGATTGATTGATTGAACAGTAGGAGGCGGTAATGCTCCTTTAGCTGGTTGCAAACCGCCTTTAAACTACAAAAAGAAGAAGAAGAAACTGAACTTTCGGACGAATCCGGTTTCCGGGACGAATACGGGAGTGACACGTGATCCGCAGCTTTGGAAACACTTTGATCTTTGTGCTTCATAAAGTCAGCAGCTGATTGGAGCAGAGGGAACATCTGCATGATCCCCGTGTAGAGCTCCTTCTACCACCGCAGCTGCTCCTGCTCCGTGCGATCGGTGACTGTGTGTTATGCTAGTGCTGTTAGCGTTAGCATTAGCCACAGGCCGCTAGCATCTTTTACTGTCTGTTCAATGAAAATGTATTCGTTTGTTAACTTGAACCGTATCATTAACAGAATTCTTGGAGCACATTCACCTCGTGTTTATATTGTTGTCTTTTTATCTGGGATGTTTGTCCCTTATTTTAGAAAGTCCAAGGTAAAGTGCCTCTCGAGGACAGGAACGTCTATTCTATGCATTTGTTTTGACAATAGAACAAAACTATATCGTAGGTAGAATTAGTGTGATTGAGGGGTTTGCACAAATGATCTTTAGGGAAACGAGCAGAAGAAGAAGCAGGACGAGAGCAGAGCTAGTATCTGAGGAAGAAGACTCCTAGACAAGAGGTGGCGCTGTTTTTTCTACTGGTGCTAATGCAAAATAGAGTAGGTTTGAAGAGAATGCGGAAGAGAGAAAGTGCTGCACTTCATCACTGAAAACGGGTAAATATAATATTTGTATATTGTGTCTATGGTAAATATACATGTTAGATCTATTTGACGAACATGAGCCATGATAGAACACGCTGTGCTCGAGTGGGACCAAGTCAATGTTAGATACTGCCCTGTCCATGATAAACACAGACTGTAAATATGCACACAGGCTAACGTCACCTAAAACACGTCTTTAATTACTTAATTATTTAGAATAGTCTTCTCACTTTACAGCTGCACATGTTGAGCTTATATACGAGTGTGTTTGGTGCACTGTATGCAGACAATAACTCCCTATGCTCTACATGTTTACGCCTGGGAACTAAAACTGAACATTATTTTTGTCCATTAAAATGTCAAAAATACTATTCCTTCTGTCATTTCATGTTTTAGAGTGTAAAATATTTTTTTCAGGAGAAAATGTATGTTGAACAAGTGTGAAGGGTAAAACCAGGGTAAAACAAGTTAATGACATCTACCACCATAGGGAGGAGGTGTTTCATTTTTATCCTGCTATAAACACAGCCAGATGTCAGATAACAGTTCTCTGGAGAGATTTATTGGAAATACTTTTTATAAGCTTGAACACTGCTGTGATTTTTATATCTGCTTATGGTACTATTAGTTACATGTTTGTGCCAGAAGTTGCCTTGGATTTATATCAATAACGGTATTTGGTGGTTTAAGATAAAAACTTGGGTTCGCTCGTAAAAAACAGACCTTAATTGTAACATGGTTTGAAGCTCTAAAAAGTCTATCTTAAATATTATGTCTCCTTTGAGGTCACGGGACAGGAGGAGATGCCGTGATGCTGGACTCTCATGTGTGAAGCATCCTGAGGTTATAGCAGCAGCACCATGGTGGATAATCGCTACGCCACGGCTCTGGTGATCGGCTCTGTGCTGAGCCTGCTGGCCTGCGTGTACCTCTCTGTGGCAGTGGGCACTCAGCACTGGTACCAGTTCAACAGCCCCCCCATCAAATATGAGGCCAGTAACGTGTCCGAGCTCCGGGATGACTTCATCAACAGAGACTTTGACGAGAAGAGCTACAGTGACACTATGTACCGTCTGAACGGGACCCTGGGCCTGTGGTGGAGATGCATGCAGGTGCCCAGCCAGTCCCACTGGTTCAAAGAGCCAGGTAATCAGTGCAATTATATTACAATAATCATATTATAACAGTCATTTAATGTATTATCAGTCCAATCATATTTTGGCACCACAGGCCATGTGTGAGTAAAGATTAAGAGACTGTATATAGACAAATATTTCCGAGATACAACCTCCATTCAGGCGTCCTGAACCTCAGATGAGATTGAAGTTGAATGGAAGTGGAAACATCATAATTCTTCATCCAGATAAATATTTCTGAAATTGATGAATCAATCCTGGACGAATTGAGGATTACTTTGTCTGACTATAACGTTTTCCAGTTGAATATTGTTTAAATTGTAAGATAATCAGCTGTGTGAAATGTAAATATATTTTATGTGCAGTTCAGATGGATGTTTATATCTTTGTTATGATTAATAAAGGGACAAAATGTTGAATTTTGTGATCCAATTGTTGCTTCTATAGGAAATAACTTTTGATAATAATTGCAGATCCCAAACTGGAAACTCTGTGTGTCAGCTTCACTCTTCAGCAGCAGTTTTTTCCAAAATATAAACACCCCGGGAACCACAACATCGAGGAGGATATCCTCAGAACATGTGAGACATGCTCATGCCGCTGAACCATACATGTCTTAACTACACAGTTTTCATTTACAATGCTGTGTCTTCACATGTGACTCGACAGACCTGTGGCGGTCCCAGTTTCTTCTTCCCCTGGTGTCTTTGGCCCTGGTGTTTCTCAGTGGTCTGGTCGGAGTGTGTGCCTGTCTATGCCGCAGTTTCACCCCAACTCTGGGGGTGGGGGTCCTCCACCTTCTGGCAGGTAGACGAGTTACAGCCTTAAACTAAAATGTGTAACGACACATAACTTTTTGGGTTATAATGGAAAGTTAATCAGTGAGTTGCAATTCATTGATTACTTGAATAGCTGTCAATTTAGTACTCAATTAATTAATATTTTGAACCTTACTTAGACTTAAACATGCTGTTTTTTTTACTTCTATAATGACGTGTTGAAATGTTGAATGTAACCATCATATTATTAGTCCAATCATATTATAAAAACCATATCATATTTTTCATTCAAAAACACAATGTGCATCAACACATCTCGATAAACATGTTTTGGTCAGATGTTTAAAGAAATCCCATATTCACAGACCAGCTAAATAATGTTGGTTCATTACAGCCCTAGTCTTTTTATCTTAGCCTGCTTGTATCGTATTGTATGTATTTTTGCATTGGTTATTTCAATCCTATCAAATATTGCAGTAATAATAAGTTAGAGAAAATAATACTGAACCTAATCACTGTTCTATTTGAGTTTCTAATTTGTAATAAAAACATCTTGTTTCTAGGTCTGTGCTCCCTGGGTGCGGTGTGCTGCTTCCTGGCTGGTGTGGACCTGCTCCGTCAGTTTAACCCCCCTCCGGAGGGCGTGGATGGGACCCTGGGCTGGTCCCTGTACCTCGCTCTCATCTCCTTTCCCCTGCAGATGATGGCTGCTGCTTTATTTCTGTGGGCAGCAAGAAGCCACCGCAAAAACTACACTCGCATGACGGCCTACAGAGTGGCCTAAAACTTGAAACCAGCTCCATCGACTTCCTCTATAGGCGTCTTTTGCTTTTTTTTATCCAACTGTTACGACGCGGCTCGTAAATGATAAGTTGACACAAATGGGTACAATACAAAGACATAAGGAGGTAACTCAAGGTTAGAAAACAAAACAAGCTAAACTTCTAAACTGCAGCACACAGAAACGACACACAAGTCCAACTACTGTCTCAACAAAAGTGTCACAATCACCGGCCCGGTATCTAGAATGGGGAACATGGGAGGTAGATGCCACACGCACACATACACACAAAACAACACATGCGAAACAGGAGAAATATTTAGGCCTGGGGCTTTGACACTAACCTTCTGAATTTGAGATTATTTTTGTGTGTGGATACCTTTGTGTTGCCTTTATTATTTTGCTGAGCTGCTCTCCATATTGTCCTTTGTTGTGCGACACTCTTTGAGCTTACTACTTTGAAATTATTTGTCTAGATTTTAGATATTTACTGATTTATGCATGCCTTTAACTGCAATGTTATGCAAACTGTGGTACTTGGTCTTCTGTGGTATTTGACTTCAATGTTGGTAAGTCTTAAACATGACTATTATCAGTTTTGATATAGTAATGATATGAAAACCATATTTATGCCTTCTAAAGTGAAGCTATAGTGCTTTCACCACTTGTGCATGCGTTTAGGGTAGGAAGTATTAACTATTTATTTCACGTAGCATTCAACCAATACAATCCATTAATAATAACATGGATACATAGTTGCCAAAAGAAAATTTTTATGCCTTTTATGCCTCAGCTGCTTTTTGTTTGCTTCATTTTGTTGCTGAGTACAATTGTGTGTTTCAGTTTCTATGAAAAAACGCTGATGTGATCATTTTCTTCCGAATCAAGAGTTGTGTCTTTTGTTGAAATCAAAAAACATTTTAATTATAAATAAATATAACAATGTGAAACGGATCAGTGGATTATTAAAACAATTAATTTACAATATTAGGTAATAGAATATAAATATAAAATGTTTACAATCAATACAATAGTGCAATTTGCAAAGTCATTGCATAGACTCGGAATCCTTCTATTACCATGTGAGTTACAGGAAGTCACAAACAAAGAAATTACTTTGGCTCTCGGTGCAAATATAATCAAGTGGTACACACTGGGGTAGTCTTGCACAGTTTTTCCAATGTGGTTTTACTGCAAATGGCAAATAAAATAAATCTGAATCTGAGATGGTACGCATAATTAAAAATCTACATAGAGCAGAAGCTTCATTCAAATAAGCTGCTATCATGTAAATATTAACCAAATAAACAGAGATTTGGCTATGGAAATTATCCTCTTTGTGTTGTAAAAGAGACCCGTGAATAAAACCAATTCATTTTGAAGGAGAAAATGTTTCGCTTGACACTATATTGCTAATGATACTTAAAAATACATATGGGAGGATTTTCTACTTCCAGGTGGATCAAGACGATTGGTCCTTCTATTTGTCGATCATTCTGGTGATACGTGCTCATCAAATAAGACCAGAGAGTTTTGTTTAAAAATATTCTCTCCTAAAACTTGGGAAAATCCTATATACCTTTAATACTATCCCAGAAGTTGGGAATTAGGTGTGGTTAAACTGTTATCAACAAGCTTAAACTAAGTGCGTGTTGGGATTGAATACTTTCTGACAGAGTAGACTGTGCTTGCTGCTTCATGTGGAAACGCCCAGTAATTCAAGACATTAACAAACAGATCAACGGTTAGTCGCTCCAGATCCATGAGAAACTGTCCCTATTATTATTATTATTATTATTATTATTATCATTCAAACCTACTCCTTTAAAGATTAGAGCTCATTTTCCTCATGTTTCCTTCACCTGTATCGATGGAAGTGTAATTGTTCTCCGTTTGGCTAAGCAAAAGGCAACGTGCTTCTCATAATATGCACATTCATTGATAAAGAATGGGTACAGGTCCTCCCCCTCATAGTTCAGCGTCTCACCAGAAAACGACTTGAACATGGGGTCGCCGTGTCGCAGGAGCTTGAAGTCATTATCCTGCAAAACAAAAAATCTGTCACTCAAACAGCGAATATATTTGTTTACTTTATATAAATGTAAACCAGTAGTATTCCGTGATGAGTAAAAAATTACAATATAAATATTTTGAGCTATATGTCAGGCTCAGAAGCAACCAGTATCTCATCGCCTTCTTCCAACTAGCTCCCAAAAGAATGAATCTGATGAATATTTCCGATTTCAAGATTCAACTATTGTAATTTCATACTAGGGGACTTATCTTATTTGTTTTTTATTTTTTTGAATGAATGTTTTTATTTGGAAATTTGAGACGAGAAAAATAAAACAAAAGCAATGTAAATGTACATTGATTATGCAAAATAATTTTGACAATGAACCAAAATAGGAGAGGGAATAAAACAAAGGGGCGACAGTAGCTCAGTTGGTAGAGCATTGGCCTTTGGGCCTGAAGGTTGTGGGTTCAAGCCCACTGTAAGACCTACTGCTGTCGTTGTGTCCTTGGGCAAGACACTTAACCCCACTTTGCCTGAAGCCCCCACTGAAAGATCTCAGCTCCTGTGGACTCACCACCTGGTCCTACATGAACTGGGTGCAGCTCTGACTGCCACCCCCCTGACCCAGAAATGGATTAAGGGGAAGAAAATGGATGGATGGTGTAATCCCAGCCCTACTTACAACTCTGATTTTACAAAATAATATCTTCCTTTACCATTTGCAACCTAGCACTTGGAGGTTTTTATTATGCTTCACAAATATATTTAAAAAAAATAATGACTTTGTATCTTTTTTTAAACTTGAATATTGTTTGAAATGTTTTAAGTTCCTTGTCCAATTTATTCAATTTGTGGCTCTACTGACAGTAACACATAAGATTTTTAATGTGGTGCAGACATTTTTAAACTTATGTAGGATTTTAGAACATTTCAGATTTCACACAGCACACATATAGGAGCACATATAGTCCGTGACAACATGAAAATACACATTCAGATGAGCACATGTGGGCTGTTCAGTCATCCACACCCAAACGACAATCATTTAATTGTGTATTCAGTAGTTAATAATTCCTAATAGGTTTTCTTGAGGGAGTGTATACATGACTTACCTGGAGCTCGGGGTGAATGACAGCAGCAGGTGTCCCAGACTCCGGGTCTCTGGGGTAGTCCACGGCCTTCTCACGCACAAATACCTCCATCTCTCCACCTGGAAATGTTGTTCCTTCAAACAAAAATCAGTCAAAGGGATTGTTTATGCCAGTTATGCTTAGAGAATATGTAAAATATGCAATGATAAAGGTTCTGTCGAGAAATGAAGACAAGGCAGCAGAGATTGCCCCTGTAACTTTGTTTATTCTTGAGTCACAGCCAGGGTAAACAAAAGGACACGGTTTTTGTATGATTTGTATCAATGTGCATAAGAACAGAGACGTGATCACTTGAGATAGTAATTAATGACGCATGCTTAAGAATACACTCTGTAGTTTTTACTCCCATCTAGTGTTGAGGTCATACATTGTAATTTACGGTACTACGGTAGCTTCGCAGGACAATATGTCGTTTTTGACAGTGGTCCCCAAATCCCGCTCAAACTCCCTTTTGTCCCTTATCACCCACTATTTCAAGATGGCGCTATGACATGTAGAGTCCTCCAGCTCTCATGGACATTTATAAGTCAATTTCTAAGCCTTTGACAACAACTCAAAAACATGGTGAAGGTAAATATTCTTAAAAAGGTCACATTTGTTATTGATCAACATGTTTTTTCAATTGGAGCAACTGTAAAACTTACACAGTACCTTGAAGATACTTTAGTAACAATGTGGGTCGGACCAAATACGTTGAGTTCTTCAGATAATAATGTTTAGCAGTAATACAGATATAACAGGGATCCACAGTACAAAATATGTAGATCATGTACCACAGTAATTACCAGTATTAAACTCATTGAGCCATTCCAGAGTGTGCCCCACCGCCTCTTTCATCATGTTGTAGACGTCGGCTCTGAGAACGCCGTGCGGCTGAGGACCGACTTCAATGGCTGCAGTCAAACAGACAAAGGTGGTTTAAACACAGAGCCTCCATAGTGACATGACTGCAGTGTAACGTCACTTACCAAAGCCATGTTTCGCCACAGAATCTACAGAATAACCCTCAGATTTTGTAGCATTGGTATGGATTAGTCTTGAAGGAGCAGAGGGCATCTTGTTCTTAAAAGAAAATGTTCTCTTGTCAACTGAGCTTTCACTGCAATCAATATTGATAATGTCCTAATTTTGCTACTGCTGAAGATGAACACAGAATTAAAACTGGAATACCCTACTTTTTCTTGGTAATGGGTTAATTCTGTTTGTTTATATATATATATATATATATATATATGCAACATGTATATTACAAATTTTAATAAAAAAACACATATATTTGTGTGCTCTTGCTACTGTCCTGTATGTGCGCTGTAACATCCACATTTCCCAACTGTTGGACGAAAAAAGGTTTTTTATCTTATCTAAAAAGAAAGATATATATCTAAAAAATGTCTTTTTTAACACTCCTCTACTTTTAAAGTACCTGCACGTATTTGACGATGTGGAGGGGGATCCAGTCGAGCACGTTCAGGATGAAGCACAGCCCCATGTTGGAGGTAGTGTTGTGCAGGTCACACAGCAGGTCCACGGCCCCCTCACTTCCTTTGGGCCCCAGCAGAGAGTTGAGCTCATGGGCCCGCCTGAGTTCACTGGGAGAGGTGTCTGTGAGCTGAGCACTGGAAGACAATCTTGGAATTATTTTTAGCCCTTGCTAAACAATGAGGTTAACATAATGTGTGGTTTCATCTCACTTCAGTAGGGCATCTGTAAAGCATCGGTTGAGGTCTGTGTCTATGTATCTCCTGCAAGCATCGATGGCTGGGGGGTTGTTGAGGATGGGGCAGACGGACATGGAACCGGTTTGATCCGAGTTCTCTTTCTGCATCTGTCTCACAATGTAAGCGCCAGACAGCTCATTTCCATGAGTCCCACCAGAGACCACAACACGGGACAGAGGCGGGAAGGAGACCTGGTCCATCTAGAGCAAACCATAAAACAGAGCTGAAGTGCACAGACAAGAGTTAAAATGTAGCTTATTGTGCAACTAATGCATTACTAATTACCTGAAGTTAAACACATCAGCAATTAAAGCAACTAACTTTGAACAAACAAAATGCTTTGTCCCAACAGGAAATTACACTTGTTGAGCTTTTTATTTTGTTTTGTCAAATGCACTATACTGGAGATACTTTGATGTTGTGAGGGTCATATATTAAGTCTACAAAGTGGCCACATCTACAGACTGTACCAACTGTTAAAACACTCTTTATCGTTATCCTTATTATTACATGTGTCCCAGAAAGAGCTTTATAAAAATTAAAAAGACATTTCTTTTCTTTTACTCTTCTATTTCTTTTCATACTTTGCCTTTGACCCTTTGATCTTTGAGGGTCCTCTCTTTTTAACTTTCCCTTCTGAAAAAGCTGATCTAAAAATGTGACAGGCTAAAGATTACATGCACTACTTGCTGGACTTTTAACCATGCTAAATGTTAGAAATAGGCTAAAAGGCATAATCCAATTTCATACGTGAAAAACCTGTTTATATTATATAGATGACATTGCAGTGACCCAATGGCTGTATGAGGAGTCACCGTGGCTTTTTTTCACATTCAATACACACAATGGTCTCTAAGATAGGAAAAGATTATTTCTTTCTTACCAGAAAACGAAAACAGAATGATTGGTCCTGGAGTAAAATAGACACCACCGTGATTTTAAAAAGTAAAGGCACTAAAGTATAAAATTATACACTTTTTTCTACAAGTTGACGAAAAAGAAGGTCCTTTATTCGTCCCACAATGGGGATTTCAGTTTGATGCATACACATACACATCAAGGCAAGCAGCGAACATCACTTCCGCGCTCCTTATAGGCAAAGTGGGTTAAGTGTCTTGCCCTAGGACACAACGACAGCAGACATCAGTGGGAGTTGGTGGAGAAGGTCTCGTGGTGGGCTCGAACCCACGACCTTCGGGCCCAAAGGCCAATGACCAACTGAGCCACTGTCACCCGTTGCATCATGCCCTTTAAACGTACACACTGTTGTCTCTGTACAAGGCAAGTTATCCTCTACATTTGACCCATTCTTTAAAGGCACTTTAGCAACCATTCTGGTTCAGAAATCACTACAGTGCAATTTTCATCCTATTGAGCCTCATCAACAACCCAAAGTAGATATTGGAAATATGGATCTGCACTTTATCTGTACTTATCTGTATATAATATCTTTACTCTATAGCTTGATTTATTCCTGTCCTTGTTTATCTTGTAATGTATGTACTTGTCTGGTGCACACTGCGGCACTTCTGCACAATGGGGTTTCACCGCTATTGGCAAATAAATGAATCTGAATCCAAATATGGAATATTTGTATCGCTGCATGATTGAAAGTTTACTTGTTAGTTCTGTGACTGTGTGGTTTGGTGACATCACAGACAAAGAAAGGAGAGCACTAAACAAGGTGCTCCGCTCTGCAAAGAGGACTGAGAGCTGTTAGCTGCCTGTTCTGGAGGTTCTTTATAAATCCGGCACTTAAAATAATCAATGACTCTTCTGGCCGCCCTGGAAAAGCCATGTTCCAGCTTCTTCCTCCTGGCAGAAGATACCGTTCGCTGAGATGCAGGACAGGTTATGCTAACAGCTTTTTTCCACAAGCTGTTATCAGTTTAAACAGAACACTTTAGTGAGCTTGCACTTTTATTGAAACTGTTTAAGTCGATCGAGCTCATCTCACAGTGTCAATTGTTTACTGCTCTTTACTGCACACTGGGGACTTTTACAAATGAATTCCAATGTGGTTTTACTGCAAATGGCGAATGAATAAATCGGAATCTGAATCTGAAGCACCCATAGCAGAACAGTAATCCCTAATCTAGGACTGGGACAATATGAGGGTTCAGAAATGATTTTCAGCAAATGCATTAAAGTCTCAAACTTTGAAACCACAAAAAGGGGTTATGTTGTGAAATCCATCTTACTAGGTCCTCGCTTCTAAAATACTTTTATCACCAGTCTTCACACGCATGCATTCTTGGTTTCTGCACAGAGCAGAGAGCACTCACTCAGCCAATCAGCTCTTTGTATGTAAGATTAAAATGTTTGTTTGCCAATAAGATAAAGACAGAAGGTTGTGGTGTGATTTATTTTGAAAATGTTACTCAGACAAGATTATTTCTGCTGGGACAAACAAAATATATGTACGAAGGGAAAAGGAATTATAGGTACACCAGCTTCAGGGAAACAGACTCACAGCTGTGTCTGGAAATGCTGTAGACTATAGAAAAAATAAAAACGACATTTAACCATAGAACTGTGTCACACATAATTGCTGACAAATGTAACGTGGACATATGCAGAAAGAATTCCACACAGAATATGAATATAAGTTTTGTAATAAAAATCTGCATGTATAGAAAGAGCAACCCTTACCTCTGCATAAGGCTCAGTCTGAACTGCAGCTACCTTTGACCCTGCAATGTTGAGAAGGAGAGGGACGGACTAAATTCTCTGAGAAGGAACTTACAGTCCATGGAAGGGACTGACGTGGGGCCAAAGCTCCCAAACTGACCCTGAATAAACTCGCCCCGGCTCGATTAGATAGTTTCAACCTCTTCTTCCTGCCCATTGCCCATGATCCCGCCTAAGTTCTGTTAGTACATGAGCTCAAATTTCAACTCAATTTTATTATCAGCCCATCCACCAGGGGTCGCACTTTCCCCACGACAGAGAAGGGGTGCCACTTTATTTGTATGGCACTAAAATAACATAACAAACTTACTTAAACCAACAAACATACTTAAAAAGGGGGTAAGAATGTGGGGAATTTCTCCATTGATCATTTTAATTTAGTATAGAACGCTTTTCACTTTCACAGAGAGAGAAAGAGAGAGAGAGAGAGAGAAGAAAGAGAGTGTGTGGGTGAGAGAAGAGAGAGAGTATAAAACGCTTTCACAGAGAGAAAGAGAGAGAGAGAGTTTCGAACGTTTTTCAGTTTCACAGAAAGAGAGAGAGAGGAGAGAGAGTGTATAGAACGCTTTCACAGAGAGAGGGAAAAATATATAACGCTTTTCACATTCACAGAAAGAGACAGAGAGACTTTGGTGATGAATATACAATCAGGACAATAGTGTGCATATTTCTTCTATGTGACATCATTCAGACAACTAATGAAGACACACGGAAATGCAAATGCCAAATGATTTCTATCACGTACCCACCTTCTGCCAACATCCTCTGTCTTTTCTTCCCACTTCCTTCCTCGTACTTAGTGCAAAGCTTTAGTCCCTGTAGACCTAATCCCGTCAGGCTTGATCAGGGGGACGCCATCACGTGTTGTCTCTAGGGGGCGCTGTCACGCCATGCGCCAGTCCTTAGCGTCTCACACTGACTCTGACCTTGACTTTTAGCCTCATGCCCTTTGTCTTTGGCATATGTGCCCAGTTATACATGCTCATACGTCTAAATGACACACTGGTTATATGTCAAGGCCAATGTCCCCATCAAGTTTGTGGATCTAAAAAAGAAAGGATCTAAAAAAATAAAGAAAGACATAAGTTAAAAAAAAGAAACTACACAACATTGTGGTGTGATCTTTTTGTTTGTCACACTCTACTTTTCTGGACTAAGATGTTGAATATACGTAATCTGCGTCAGCCAGTCCTCTCTAGTTCGGTGCTCTGACTTTTTATCTAGTTACATATGTTCTTTTTCCCCCATCACTTTGTTTCATTATGTTAACCACCACAGCCTTACTCTGCTCTTTGTCCCTCACCACAGAGTCTTGCTGGTTCGTCTGTACCATCCTGTCAGTCTGTGTCTGGATGTCACAGGGTCTTTGCTCTGTTATTCTCACGTTTGGACATGTTTTGCATCGTGACCTTGGGGTTTCCATACCATACACTGAACAGACACATGGTAGTTGCTGGCATGCATCCTGCTACTATGCAGGCCATTTCCATATATGATTTCCCTGCCAGCCTCTTACACCCGGCTGTTATGTTCTGGATTGAGTCCAACAAACCAGATCATACCTCTTTGCACAACCTACACAATAGTCTTGACTGGTGTGGTATATCTGGGCCTCTATGGTGCTCAGGGCCTGCTCCTGTGCAGCCATGATGAGAGCCTCTGTTCTCTCCTGTAGGCCAGCCCTTTCTAGCCATTGGTAGGACTTCTTGAGTTCTCACCATGCACTGTCTCAGACATTTACTAAGTAAGTAACCTTTTGGGGCTTTGGACTCGATATCTCGTGGAACTTGGATGTTTCATCCTCTCACACTCGCTAGTCCTCTGCCTTCTTCCACATGGCTTTCATACAGTCTAAAGGTGTGTGTTTGGGATGGAATCCACCATGCATGGATAGAGTTTAAAAGGTATAACGTTTTTTTTTTAGGAAATAACCACCCCCACCACTAAATTTTTGTGTGTGTGATGATATCCCAATGTTATTGTAGATCCTGGTGGTGTGAGGAACAGTCTTTGCTCCACTCTTTGCGTAAAGCTTGATGTTGGTGATGAATTGGCAGATGAGGTTCAGACCTGTGCAGAATAGTGTAAAGGTAAAGATGTACTTTATTTATCCTGTAGGTCAAATCATCCTCTGCATTTGACCTATTCTGATGCCACTAGGGCATCTTTCAGGAGCAGTGGTTGCCGTAGTACGCAGGGACCCATCTCCAGATGTTAGTCAGGACTACCGAAGCAGGAGGATTTTACATATTGCCTATTTGTTTAACCGGAGCACCCTGAGGAAACCTACACAGGCACGGGGAGAACGTGCAAACTCCACTCAGAAAGGCCCTGTTCTGACTGGGATTTGAACCCAGGACTTTCTTGCTGAGAAGTGAGATGGCTGAGTGGATAGCACTAGTGGTGACTGGTCAGTTTATTTGGGCGAGTCCCAGGATATAAGCACTTCGTTTATGGTTATTTCCCAAAGCCCAACCTAACAGGGGAACAAGCTTCATGAGTGACAAAATGTCATTGCTTTGCTCAGTCGTGTGCACAGTTAGAGATTCATATCTAGTGTCATAATCTTGCGTGTAAACTGTTTTTTTCTTGATGAGAAGGCACATTTAATGTAATGATGCTTCTTCCCCCAGGATCCTTTGTGCTGCTATAGATGTTTATGAATAAAATTGTGAATTGGTAGAAATATCTGAAAGACCATTGGACTTTTGTTGCAAATGCTTCCCTCATCTCTCTCTCCATCCTTCTTTCACTTATGAATGTAGAGATACTCCTCCACTAAAAGATAAGGACGTTATCAGGTTAAGAAACTTGGTCTTGTATTCAGAGGTGCCAATTTTCATCCAAGCCATTTCTTCTTCTTTCCTTAGACAAACATGTTGCACTTAGAAAACAAGTCTTGTGGACAAATAATTTGGATATTTTGGTGGAATGAGAATGGGGTGGATTAGGGTTGAGCCCTTCTTTTATTATTTTGATCTCAGAACTAGTATAAAAAGATTAGTATAAATTTACTCATAAAAAATAGATGATAAAAAACACTGTTCTAATGTATTGTTCTGTGTGTAGCTGGGCATCGTCCAAAATATTTTATTTTTAGATTATAGACAATCTATTGAAATTGGTATCCAGTATGAAGTCTATTTCTTATACACCAGAAGCAGGATGTAAATGTTGGTATCATGACATCACTGGTGGATTCCTCATGCTATGACCCATGCTTGCAGAATGGGTCAATGGTAAATTTATACCTTTTGGAGATCATTTTGACATTCTCCTGTTCAGTTTTTACATAAATGGATGTTGATCTGAAGTGGTAAAGTATTTGAGAAACGTAGATAGGCCTATACAGCTAAAAGTTTCTGAGAATAACAAATGATGGGAGAAGCTCTTTAAATCACCTCCACTAAAACAATCATTGTTGGTGTCGTCAAAACAAATGGAGCACAGCGAGAGTGTGAAGCTAACCTGCTGTGGTCGTTAGCACAGCATGGGTCAATAAGTTCTATTCTAATAATCAAAACCTCAAAGATTCAAAACCTAGCAACTTATGAACTTGTTTTGAATCCTAACTTAAACAATAATCATTTGGATATGGCTGTGTGAATTATATCAATTATAAATACAGTTGTGTTGGGTTTTCAAGCAATTACTGTAACACAAACTTAGTTGATTAAAACCAATCCCCACCATATGCGGATTCTTGTGCTGGCAAATTAGACCAATTGTATGTATTTCCCCATATGTTATACAATTGTTTGACTAAAGAGTGAAACATGTGCCACTGATAATACAATTTACGAAGTTAGAAGTTCTAATATGTGTATAATTAAGATTACTGGTTTCTCATCAGAACAGCTGCAGCATCTTGAGTTTACTTTGGAATCATTGTATCATGGGCAAATATGTCCCTTATTTAACTCAAAACAATGGGAACTCACTACTATCCAGTGTCTCGTACAGCCTCACTTAAACTCCCGAGGGAGCAATGCTTACATAAGTTATTAAAGGCTTGAAACTATAAGCTTTGCTTTTAGATGGCAGTGATTTGAAGGATTAAGTGCAGCCTATACCACTTTATGACAGTTCAAGTCAAGGGTGTTTTCATTTGAAGGAGACATTTAGCAAGTTTGGTGATGGATAGTGGGGGATAAGTCAGTGTCACAACATGCTGCGTGTCTCCCAGTCTTGTGCCCATGCAGAGGAGCAGATCCTGGATAGGTGACAGCCCTGATTGGCCGCACTCTCCTCAGTGCGTGTCGGTCACATGCCGCGCGTCAGTGATGTGATGCGTCTCCATCAGCGGCTCTCGCAGATCCCAGTGCTGATGTGTGAAGGATGGCCTTTAGGTCCAACATTAGCACTAATCTGACCAACCAGTTCGCACAGCCCGCTTGGCGCGTGGCTCTGTGGTCAGTGGCCTACAGCACGGTGCTGACTGTGGCTGTTTTGGGGAATTTGATTGTGATGTGGATCATTTTAGCACACAAGAGGATGAGAACAGTAACGAACTATTTCCTTCTAAATCTGGCTTTTTCTGATGTGTCTATGGCTGTGTTCAACACACTCATCAACTTTGTGTACGCCGCGCACGGAGACTGGTACTTTGGAGAGGTCTACTGCAAGTTCCACAACTTCTTCCCAGTAACAGCGGTGTTTTCCAGCATCTACTCCATGACGGCGATAGCTATCGACAGGTATGGACTGATCATATTGGTGTCTCGTCATCTCTTCATTGTCATTCAAATTACGAGTTATGTTGTGAAATTTCAATGGTTCAAGACCTGCTGCTCATGTGTAAGATAATAGTCTAAGTATTCTAAGTAGTTTTTTATGCGCAAAATGTACTCCTATTTCTGAAAATGCAGGCTAATTATAACTGAAATGTCTTGACACTGCAACATAGAGTAATCATGCACCATTGTAAGAGCTGATTGCGCGGCAGGTACATGGCCATCATCCACCCCCTGAAGCCGCGGCTGTCTGCGAAGGCGACCATAGGAGTCATCTTTATCATCTGGGGCCTGGCGGTGGCCCTCGCCTTCCCCCTGTGCTTCTACTCCACCACCAGAGTCTTGCCACGGAGGACGCTCTGCTATGTGTCGTGGCCCCGTAAGACTGTGGACTCTTTCATGTGAGTGTGAAACACCTGTGGCTGTAAACTTGTTTGTCCCACAATAGTCACATATTTGTAGCATATATAACATATTTTGAATTAAAGACATATGTTGCTGCAATGTGGTGGATGACTAACTTCACTTTCATGTTCAATGTGTAATAGAATGCTAAAGGCTATATTAGTAGTTCAAATTGTGTTATTGTGTCCCACATTGAGTGTTGTGATGCTGCAGGTATCACATCATAGTGATGGTGTTGGTGTACGCCCTGCCTTTGGTCATCATGGCCATCACTTACACCATAGTGGGAGTGACTCTGTGGGGAGGAGCAATCCCAGGAGACTCCTCCGACAACTACCATGGACAGCTCCGTGCCAAAAGAAAGGTAGAACTCACTCTGACCATCAAAGCATTCGAAATGACCTTTATCAATTTGCATTTGAGACCATGCCCGCTTTAGAATAATATATATATATATACAGTGCCTTGCGAAAGTATTCGGCCCCCTTGAACCTTTCAACATTTCGCCACATTTCAGGCTTCAAACATAAAGATATAAAATTGCATTTTTTTGTCATGCATCAACAACAAGTGGGACACAATCGTGAAGTGGAACAAAATGTATTGGATAATTTAAACTTTTTTAACAAATAAAAAACTGAAAAGTGGGGCGTGCAATATTATTCGGCCCCTTTACTTTCAGTGCAGCAAACTCACTCCAGAAGTTCAGTGAGGATCTTTGAATGATCCAACGTTGTCCTAAATGACTGATGATGATAAATAGAATGCACCTGTGTGTAATCAAGTCTCCGTATAAATGCACCTGCTCTTTGATAGTCTCAGGGTTCTGTTTAAAGCGCAGAGAGAACCATGAAGACAAAGGAACACATCAGGCAGGTCCGAGATACTGTTGTGGAGAAGTTTAAAGCCGGATTTGGATACAAAAAGATTTCCCAAGCTTTAAACATCTCAAGGAGCACTGTGCAAGCAATTATATTGAAATGGAAGGAGTATCAGACCACTGCAAATCTACCAAGACCCGGCCGTCCCTCCAAACTTTCATCTCAAACAAGGAGAAGACTGATCAGAGATGCAGCCAAGAGGCCCATGATCACTCTGGATGAACTGCAGATAACTACAGCTGAGGTGGGAGAGTCTGTCCATAGGACAACAATCATTCGTGCACTGCACAAATCTGGCCTTTATGGAAGAGTGGCAAGAAGAAAGCCATTTCTCAAAGATATCCATAAAAAGTCTCGTTTAAAGTTTGCCACAAGCCACCTGGGAGACACACCAAACATGTGGAAGAAGGTGCTCTGGTCAGATGAAACCAAAATCGAACATTTTGGCCACAATGCAAAACGATATGTTTGGCGTAAAAGCAACACAGCTCATCACCCTGAACACACCATCCCCACTGTCAAACATGGTGGTGGCAGCATCATGGTTTGGGTCTGCTTTTCTTCAGCAGGGACAGGGAAGATGGCTAAAATTGATGGGAAGATGGATGGAGCCAAATACAGGCCCATTCTGAAAGAAAACCTGTTGGAGTCTGCAAAAGACCTGAGACTGGGACGGAGATTCATCTTCCAACAGGACAATGATCCAAAACATAAAGCCAAATCTACAATGGAATGGTTCACAAATAGACGTATCCAGGTGTTAGAATGGCCAAGTCAAAGTCCAGACCTGAATCCAATCAAGAATCTGTGGAAAGAGCTGAAGACTGCTGTTCACAAACGCTCTCCATCCAACCTCACTGAGCTCGAGCTATTTTGCATGGAAGAATGGGCAAGACTTCCAGTCTCTCGATGTGCAAAACTGATAGAGACATACCCCAAGCGACTTGCAGCTGTAATTGCAGCAAAAGGTAGCGCTACAAAGTATTAGCGCAAGGGGGCCGAATAATATTGCATGCCCCACTTTTCCGTTTTTGTTAAAAAAGTTTAAATTATCCAGTAAATTTTGTTCCACTTCACGATTGTGTCCCACTTGTTGTTGATTCTTAACAAAAAAAATATTTTTATATTTTTATGTTTGAAGCTTGAAATGTGACGAAATGTTGAAAAGTTCAAGGGGGCCGAATACTTTCGCAAGGCACTGTATATATATATGATCTTCATTAAACCAGAATAGTCCCACTGAGTTTTAAGAAAGTCCTGGCCCCAGAGTGGAGGACATTCATTTAGCTGTACTAACCAAATCAAAATAATCAGAGGAACACAGACACAGGGAGAACGGAAGGGCAGGGTCCTCTTGGTGACTGCCTTCAGTCATTGAGAAGAGGCACTCCCTGCCTCCTTCAGCCTCTCTCACTGTTGTTGCTACACTAATGGTGTTTGATCATTTTATTGTGAAGTAGAGATTATCATCCATCTACATTGAGTTAGGGTTTTTGGCGCAGCGTTTTGTAGTGTTTGTAATACACTACAAAACATTTCATTTTCCACACTCCCCTGACCCAGAAATGTATTAAGTGGAAGAAAATGGATGGATGGACACAGTCTGAATAGTATATACTTTATACTTTAAGGAGTTGAAAAGCCAATAAAACACTAATGAATAGTAGTATTAACAACACTTATACACAACACAATGGGTTCAAGAAAAAGCTCAGATTTGGACCTACACTTTCATTCATTTTTCTGTAATCTGATCATGGTCATCTGAATTTGTTGCGTTATTGTGGTCAATAGGATTAAGGTCACTGCAGCTGCATGACATAAGACTGTGATTGTGGATGTGGATTTTTATTCATACAATCAATTGATATTGTCAGTGTGTATATTATCCAACAGATTAGGATGATAGTCCTCATCTATTAATACATGAGGCAATTTGTCCATTGAGGCAAAAATGTGTAATCAAATGCCTATGTTTTCTCTGTCACAAACACTTTATCACATTCAGAGGCATGAGAACAAACAAGGGGAATATTCAGCCTAATTTGCAATTCAAATGATTGCCACAAAATTTCATCAAAGGCTGAGATTGCAGCCAAATGGGTGCGGATTAAAGTAGATTGAATCAGCTCCTCATTCAGAGAGGTTGAAGATCTTAAGTGGAGGAAAGCTTTACAGATGATGTAACCATGAACCAGTCTCATTAGCACCCCACTGAGCCACATTGTACAGAGCATCACTTTGTCACCGTCCTACCTGCAGCCTGCTGCTCCTGTTGCGTCAACCGCGACCTTTCTTCCTTTTCTTTGAAATTCTTCTCGGGCTGCTTTCAAATGAAAATGACATGAAACGTCACTATCGACATGATTCAAAACCCTCCAGACAGCACCACAGACAGGCACAATGAGCGCTTATCTGGTTTCTAATATTCAGGAGAGCTTTCTGTGGTATTCAAATGACACTGGATGGATTGGAATACAGATATATGAACTATCACCTACAACATTATCCTGCTGTTATAGCTATTTAAGTTTTAAACATAGAAATACAGTGATGTACTTGCGTTTTTCAATGAACAAGGTGGACAACAGCTAATTGGCTATATTTATTTAAAAGAAATGAAATATCCAACTTGACAATGGTTTGAAAGTAATTTTTTTTTTGAGAGAAACCATTTCAAAATTATATGATCTGATATAATTCTTTCCTTGATCAGTTTTTGTGAAAACAATTTTAAGAGAAAGTGGTATTATGTGGTCTTGAGTTTTGAACCTGTCGCCTGAGATAAAGTGAGAAAATGAATCTTATGACTTTAGATAGAGGTAGATGCTTCTGTAATTCAATGGAATTGGACAAATAAGGAATAATGCCTTTTCCCTCTCTCTTGCTCTCTCTGCAGGTGGTAAAGATGATGATTGTTGTCGTGGTGACGTTTGCGCTCTGCTGGCTTCCATACCACGTATACTTCCTCGTGACGGGTCTGAACAAAGACCTAAGTCGGTGGAAGTACATTCAGCAGGTCTACCTCAGTGTGCTGTGGCTGGCCATGAGCTCCACCATGTACAACCCCATCATCTACTGCTGCCTCAACAGCAGGTCAGGCCCAACTCAACACTCAAGAGCAGTGCCTCTCATAAGTGTTAATACAGTTTGAACTTTACAACCATACACATCAAGATATTATTTAAATTTTTCTTACTGAAATTTATCAAACCACAACGTGAAGTGATAGCAAAATCAGATATAATTCTGATATTAAAAAAAAAAACATTTAGCATCGAAATGTTGGGCAAGCAAAGTTTATCTGAAGTTCAAACTGTATTGATACTTTTGAGAGGCACTGTAGTTATTAATGAAATTGTTTGAACAATGATCAAATAAAATGCAACAAATACTCATATTAAGTTTCACATTAAATTGAATAGTGTTTGTTAATATACTAAGTTTTACTTGATTTTATTTACTATAGTTTATGTTTTTTAAATGTATCTTCACATATCGCGCAGGAGCTATACAGTTGAAAAACGAGCTTTGTAGCTGAAACTGTCACTTGTACAGAAATGTATCAAATTTTCAATCAATCAATGCATGGCATGAGCAGGTTTGCCAATTCAAGTCATTATTACCTGAAATAAAACCATTTTTTATTTTACTTTAAAAACATTAAAATACACAAAGATTCTGCACAACATATGTAATTAAAGATGGTAAAAATATATATTCACATTGCTGAAAGTTGTTTAGTCAGTTTAACAGCTCTCCGCACATGAAGAAAATGCCCAAGGTCCATTATTACTGGAAGGCCCACCTCTAAAGGGATGTTATCTAAAACAGAGCTCACAGGATAAGGTGGAGCACAGAACCAGCAGAGGTAAGAATGTTAGACTTCCTGTCTCAGCTGCAGCTCATGAACATGACATCTCCACTCAAACACAACTGCTAGACACATTTTATCATTTTCTCCACAATGTTGTACTTACCTGTTTCCCTTTTATACTTATTTTAATTAAACCTAAATCACTCATGTCCAATCGAGGGTTAGCCCTCATGCTTCCATGCAAATTTAGAAAATAAACATTTGAATACTGTGTCAAAATAAAAATGATCTAAATTCAGGATTCATCAGTGTTGTTTACGATATGTACATTTATGTACATTTATTCCAAATGTGCTCTGTCTTCCAGATTCAGAGCTGGATTCAAGCACGTGTTCCGCTGGTGTCCCTGCGTACACACGTCCAGTTACGAGGAGCTGGAGCTGCAGAACCGAGGTCTGCGGCCGGGCTACCAGAGCAGCATGGGCACCAGCGTCCTCAGCAAAGACAAGAGCGTCCGTGTGCAGGGAAACAGGCCGCGCTTGGACCCCCAGACCTCCCCCTCCGTGTAGGACAGCTCGCCATGACTGTTTTTACGAAGCATGAGTGAAAATCTGGCCACTCACTTTCTGCAATTTAGTTTGTACAAGACGCATATAACCCGTGGCTATTGCAGTGTGAAAAATCAGTTTGTTTGGCGTAACTGAATGTAACCATTTCTACCTCAGTTGCATGCAACCACATGAAGTGATACTGAGACAAGGCCAGCAGATGCACTTAAGAGCACTGAGAAAAGCCATGATATCTTACAAACACGCGTGTGTTGGACGCATATAGGCGATTTACTCATTTATATTGTTGTGATAAAGAACTTGCACATGTTTTGTGAGCAGCACAAACAGGAAACATGCCACAGAAAAATAAAAAGCTTACACAGCTGCAGTTGAGCTTATGCTGTAGGTATTATAGTCATTTAATTTATGTTGAGCACTATGGGAAAGTTACGAGACGCCGCAGAGCAACTCTTGCCGGTCTTGGACAAGACTGGTTTAAAAATTACACCAGAGTTTATTTTTTCTCATGCTTTGTAAACTACTCATGAGTTGTATCTGGCATCTCTGGTGAAGACTTGTGAATGTAATAGATGTGAAGGAAGTACTGTATGTAGTTATAATGCTTTATGTGCCTGTAAAGGCTATCAGCTTAATAATAATAATAGTAATAATAATAATGATAATAATATAATCTTTTAATGTTTTTTTGTTATTTTCATTATTTTATTTAACAGATTTATGTAAATATATACAAGATATAAGAGTCAACAACTGAACACTCAAATTTAATATTTATTTACTATCTTATAACTGTTTTTTTCAAAATCTCTGAAAAAAAGCTTTCTGTATTAATGGAATATGCTTAAAGGGTTGTGTATGTGTATGATGTAAAATATAGAATTTCATGATTTGATTTCACTTACAGTCAGAATGTAATTTTCACAAGTGCTTTTATGATTTTGAATGCTGGGACCTACAAAACTGGTTATGTATGTACAGAAGTGTGCCAATTTAACATTGCAGAACTATTAAAACTAAGCTACAAATGTAATATTCATGTTTTAGTTACACAAAAATATGGGAAAACAAATCTATTTTATGTTTCCTCTATGAATCTCATTTCAACTCATGAAAAGAAAGAATGGAGACAGAAGTGCCAGGAAAAAACAGTGGAAGTTGAAGTCGGGTGACCTGGAAGGAGACAAAGAAAATAGATGTATAGATAAGTTGCAAAGTGACGAGAATAACATTGGTTCAACACCAGCACCAAAACAGCACTAATTTCCATTTTTAAGAAAATGCACTTAAAGCACTGTATGTAATTTGCACTATTGATTACAAAACAGCTTTTGTTGCCAGAATCTTCCTTTCTTTCACTCTACTGGAGATTATCTGGAAACAGTAAAATCTCTGTAAAATCTACATGACTACTTTATTTAATTTTATTTAAATTTAACACATCATTATTTCTGCTTTCATTTAAAAATGTGTGGTGCTTTTGTGTGAATGTAGTTGTATTAATACAAAAAAAAAATAAGACCAGCAAAATGTCACCAAACACGCTAGCCTAATTTTGCTCTCAGACTTAATAATCTCCTTGAAAATTGTAAACATGAATATTATGGAAATCATGTCAATCAATTTTTTTCATATTAATTTGACATGGGGACACACAGAGGTAATTTGAAATGAGAACATTACATACTGTCCCTTTAATTGATGATGCTGTATCAATATGAATACATGAAAACATAATAATCATCTGCCTTCCTGAACAATCTTGTTTCTAAGTACAGACCACAATAAAGGGAATCTCACCTTGAAAACACATAGCAGTTGTGCTCGCTCTTCAGCTTGGAATGTTTCAAAACGATTAAATGATACGATAAGTCTTCATCCTCCTTGACAGTCCTCACATCTTCCACTCTGAACTCCTCAGCTGGAGAGAGGAGTATCGACGGTTCCTCGATGCAAATATTTTCTCCAAGATTTGCAAAAAAGCAACTTGTGATGCTCAGAATGACTTCATCATCAATGTCTCTTTTCTTCAGTATCTGCAGGCTTGGATAGCCAATTGTAAATCTTCCAAGTCTCACAGTGGAGCCTTTAACAGCGCTGAAATCAAAGTCTGAGAAAGCATAAACAGTGGTACAGACATTCTGACCTGTGTGAAGCAGTCGAAGGGAATCCATCAGAAGAAAGTGAATAGATTTATAGTTAAAATGTTCTTCGTAGATAGTGCTATTTGCTCCATCGGTAAACACAGCGTTGTTTAGGGTCTTTCTAAACGAGTCGTCATCACTGGCAATGGTCAGCAGTGCAGTGGTGTGTTGCTTCAGCCCTCCTGGTATCAGCTTGGGGCAGGCTGACTGGGACTGATGCCAGGCTTTCTGAAAAATGATGCTTTGGTTCATTTCTTCTTGGAGCAGATCTGAGAGAACAAACTTGTTCAGTGCGTCTTTGGAGCATCCGTCATACATGTCATCGACAGCATCCAGTGCCATGTCCAAGGGAATCTGTGCAATAAACAAAACATCATAATGTTATCACAGAGCTCTTTTGTCCAACTAACTATAGAAAACAAATCATACCAATACTTGCCTTGCTGCCGAGAGACAGGCTGCACACAACTGCCAGGATAAGGTATTGTACTTCCTGCATGTTTATGTCTGGAACACACAATTGGTTAGCTCCAAAAAGGAAGACAAACTCACACTGTTAATATTTCTAATAAATGCAGAACAACTGGCAATTAGAGTTCAAGCACAAGAGGAAGAAAATATCTTACCCCGCAACTTGTTTCCTGTAGAGAGATAGGCACAGGCGTCACTGGGGAGAACTGGCAGAATGAAGACTTACTGTACATATATTACATTTAATTTTTCATCAAAAGAGATTTGAGCTCTAATGAGAGGACGTTTTGTTGAATATATGCGAGCCTCATGTTGTTAGACTTATAATCTGGCGACAGGGTGAGTGAGGACTCTATTTCCACTGCCTCCTCTCGCTTCCTTCCTTCCGTATGTTTACAGCGTTCAGTCAGTTAGGAATGTGAAGCAGTCTTTGTGGTTTCAATACTCTATAGTCTTAACTACATGGAGAACCTAACTTTGACCACAAAAAAGCCCAAAATGTATTAATGAAACAAATGTTTTTTGGTAGTATTTGTATAGTCATTTCAACAATTAGCCCCCTTTACTTTCACTTAAAAACAACTGTATTGTACTATGATGTTGATTATTATCAATATTACTATTATCAGTCTTTTTCTTAATGTACTGTGATCATATATAGGATTTCAATGCCTTGTGTGATTGTTTCTATCTTGCCTTACCCTATTGATGATCATAATAAGAATGCATACTACTTATATAGCGCATTAGCATAGCTAATCACAATTAATCAATTCAAATAAGAATAAACCTAACCACTTCAAAACTGTGCAGTGTTGCCATCTGCAAATTAAACTGGTCAATTTAAGATGAAGATGAAGATCCTATATTCGTTCCACAGTGGGGAAATTTCAGTGTTGCATTATAAGTTATAGAACAGTAGGAATGAGGAGCACACAGCACAAGTGAACATATGCTAAACTAATTAAAATAAAACAAAATCTCAAACTCTAGCATCAATAACAAGTATAAAATATCTATCTTGAAAATAATAACAATTAAAGTACTGTGTATTTTAGTGCAAGCAATGTGTAGTTATATGTTAGCATCTGTACATTAGCAGCAGTATGTTTACATCTGTATATGTTAGCAGCATATGTTTACACCATATGTTAAGATAAGATAAGATAGACTTGTAGTGATCTCACACAGGAGAAATTTACATGTCACATCTGGCATGGATAGAAACACTCAAGAAGAAAAAAATATGTGCAAAGAAAGATGTGTGCAAACATGTTAAATGCAGGATATCTTATGGACAATACAAGTGGCAATTAAGGAACAGTGGCAATAGTAGTGCAGGGTTTTTATGTTATTTATTTTTTTATTTTTCAGTCCTTGTGCAAGTGACTTAAAGTGACTTATTGAAAAGTCTTTAGCAGCAGTATGTTTACATCTGTACATTAGCAGCAGTATGTTTACATCTGTACATTAGCAGCAGTATGTTTACATCTGTACATTAGCAGCATGAGGCTCTGAGACACAGTGACTCAGTAAAGTGACAGTGACATGTGGTTATAGCACATTCTTATAGTTAGGATATTGCACATGTGGTGCGAGGGCTGTGATATACTGGTGGATAATTTTAAATACTGGTTTGTTGCCAACAACGCCACCCCGAAGGGAAAATAAAAAATAAAGGATTACGGCTAACACAGGTAAGTAACTGAGGGACAGAGACAGAATTAGAAAAAGGTTTACAACATTTATTTGATATTAACGGTCACTTAAGTTCATGATTAAAATAGTTTTTAAAATGCAGTGCACAGTACACAAAACAAACACAATGACCCCAGATTAACTTGTTTTAAAGTGCGTAGTTGCTTACATGTGCTTTTGTGCAAACTCACAGCAGCTATTTCAAAAGTTCCAGGCGCCTCCTTTAACTGATGGCCACTAAATGGACCACACTGTATGGACACCAGGAAAACATGAGCCAAGGCAACTCAGGAGGAGAGAAAAGGAGAGGCTCGAGAAGACTGGACCTAAAAGAAGTGACAATTTAGAATTTACAGTACAGTTAAAACCCCACGTAGCAGCTCAGGAGCCGGGAAAATACGCACCATGAATCCTCTGCGTGAAGCGCTCACCTAGAGACCCAGCGCAGGAGGCGCGTAGAACCGGGTGCCCCACCTTATAAAGAGCGCTTAGTTAACACTAGGTTTGGAAAGTAATGTTAATGGGCGGATACGCGGCACACACCAGCTTACCGTAATGGTATGTGACAACACGCACACCAAACATGCGGGAGGTGTCCTCAGTTGACCCTGCAAGACGCCACGCACAGAGCGCTGCGGGGAGCGTAAAGTATTTTATATAAAGCAGGATGGATAAGGAGACAATCGAAGGGGAATGGCACTGTACTTACTAGTTGTGAGCTCAATATGAAGCGCGAATGCCAGCTTTAGGGCCGGCAACTGTGTTTGTCCAAGCTGTGGAGCCAGACTCCACGCTGTGCAGCTCACTGCTCCTGGGACAGCGGTGACGTCAGAGGCGGGCAAAGAGATGGTGCAGGTGATCCATCCTCCTTTTAAAAGGGAGGAGACTGCACGCAATAGGCTGCCACCGGGCACGCAGGGCCTACCACTACATTCTACCCCTCCTCCTTGCATCGTCGCCCCGACGATGAACTTAATAACCATCCAGGTCCTACTTACAGATTTGACGCTGGATTCCTTGAGTTTAGAACGGAGCGTGGTAAATTGTACAAGTTCTGGTGACGACCAGCAGTAGAGCGAACAGACCTCCGTAAGTCAGCATTGACGGAGCCCACAGGTGAGACCGGTGCAGAGATAGCAGGGTCTGCCTCCTGAGTTGGCCCCTCGACTGCCACTGCCTGAGAGGGTGGACCGGTTTGCACCTGCACTGGGGGACTTGGGACAAAAGCAGACTCATGAGACTGTTCAGGCACCGCATACCACAGGTCACCATCACCAAGGGGAGTGATCGGAGAGCCTGGATGAACAACATGAGACGGAGTAGTCGGTGCAGGTTCTATTGGATCAGTCAGCCCTACACAGGCCTTGATCAACGATCGATGTATTTGTTTGGTCTTAGTGTGGTCTTCCAGAGGAGCAATAGTATACACTGAGCCTCCTTCCCGTGGTGCTCTCAAGATAACGTGCGGAACAGAGGACCAGAAGTCCTGCATCTTGCACCTACCCCTGACACCGATGTTGCGCACCAAGATATGTTCTCCTTCCTCCAACGGTCTATCACGCACACGTTCATCATGCTGAGCTTTTCGACGTTGGGCAGCCGCCCTCAAGCGTTCCTCAGCCCCCTCGAAAGCTAAGCGTAAGCGGGTTTGATGCTCAGAGATCCATTCATGGAGCTCGCCAGCAACAGGATCTAGGACCTGGCCCAGTAAGAAGTCCATTGGCAACCTGGGTTCTTGTCCGAACATCAAATAAAATGGAGATTCACCGGTCGACTGGTGGGGTGTGGTATTGTAAGCATACAACAGTTGTGGCAAACAAGAACACCAATCCCGCTTTCGAGAAACTGGTAAAGTGCGAAGCAAGTTATGTAGCGTACGATTGAATCGCTCACACTGGCCGTTGCCGGCTGGGTGGTACGGTGTTGTTCGGGACTTTGCAATCCCATACAATCCACACAACTGCTGCATCACAGAGTTTTCGAAACTTCGACCCTGGTCTGAGTGTATTCTAGCGGGAACACCAAACTTACAAAACCACTCAGACACCAGAACTTGAGCGACAGTTAAGGCTCGTTGGTCACGGGTTGCGAAAGCTTGCGTGAACTTACTAAAGACATCTGTAACAACAAGCACGTTTTCCACACCGTTCCGTGAGGGTTCGAGTAAGGTGAAGTCTAGCGCAATGACTTCATTTGGTCGCGAAGCTAAAAGGTGACCCATAAAGGCACGAGCTGGAGGACGGGAGTCCTTGGCCACTTGGCAGCGCTCACACTGCTGGCACCACTCAGCTGTTTCTCTGGACATCCTGGGCCAATAACAGCGTGCTCGCAGCAGGCTCAGTGTTCTTTCTACTCCCTGGTGGCCGTGTTCTTGATGAACCTGGGTTAGTACCTCTTTGGTCAAGACCGCGGGAAGTAACAGTTGGTGTATGGCCTCCCCACCATCCGGTCGAGAGACCTTCCGATAAACTAACCCGTTCATTTCCACCAGGCGGTCCCACTGCTGAAGCAGTACCCCTGCAGATGGAGAGAGGAGTTTCCGCTCCTCAGCATTGGGTCGAACATTGGCCCGCCAGAAGGTCATCACCTCCTGAATAACAGGGTCTGCTGCTTGTTGGGCCCGTAGGTCACTGGTTGAATGCCCCGGCAGAGCTGCCACCACAGCTTGAGAGGCTTCAACCCTGTTTGGACCGAACAGTTCCTGCAAGGAGTGTGGGATGAGTGTCCCAGGAACCATGTCTGCAAGCTCTTGTGAGGTGAGACATTGCCGACGGGACAGTGCATCTGCGTTTCGGTTACTCTTGCCAGATCTGTACCTAAGTTCAAAATCAAACTGTGCGAGCTGTGCAGCCCAACGCTGCTCAACAGCCCCAAGCTTTGCTGTTCCCAAATAGCTAAGTGGGTTATTGTCAGTAAAGACAACACACTTATGGCCCAGCAAATACTCCCTGAATTTATCAGCCATGGCCCATTTAAGTGCCAACAGCTCGAGCTTCATCGAACTGTAGTTTGACATGTTGCGTTCTGTAGGCCGCAGGCCACGACTCGCATAGGCAACTGGTCTCACTTTGCCATCCTGCTCTTGAGAGAGCACTGCCCCCAAACCACAGTGACTCGCGTCTACTTCTAAAATGAATGGTCGTGAGAAATCTGCGTATGCAAGGACTGGAGTGCTGGTAAGTTTTGCCTTAAGGGAATCAAAGCTTCTCTGACACTCATCACTCCAGGCTTCCATGTCACACGTACTGGTTTTCCGTTTTGACCTGCCATTCAAAGTCGCTACTCGCTGATGTAATGGTGCGGCTAACTGGGCGAACCCCTCAACGAACCGACGATAATAGCTGGCGAACCCTAAAAAGGAACGCAGCTCGGTCACGGTCGTGGGCGTAGGCCAGTTTGCGACAGCCTCAACTTTTGCGGGGTCTGTGGAGACACCTTTATCAGATATTACGTGACCCAAATAGCTTACTTCTTGCCGAAAGAAACTGCATTTGGGGAGTTTCACCTTCAGACCCTCGTGGTGGAGCCGCCCCAGGACACTATCCAGCCTCTGCAGGTGCTGCTGTACATTGGAAGAAAAGATTATAATGTCATCCAAGTACAGAAGCAACGATTGTCCCTGCTTATCGCCGAAGATGCGCTGCATGAGGCGTTGGAAAGTTCCTGGTGCATTGCAGAGCCCAAAGGGCATCCTGTTCCACTCAAATAGTCCGAATGGTGTACAAAATGCGGTCTTGGGCCTGTCACGCTCTGAAACTGGTACCTGGTTATACCCACTGGCGAGGTCAATGGTTGAAAACCAGCATGCCCCAGTCATCGCATCCAATGACTCCTCAATTCGAGGAAGGGGAAAGGAGTCTCTACGGGTTTTTGCGTTCAACTGGCGATAATCCACACACAATCGAAGGGTGCCATCCTTCTTACGGACGAGTACAATTGGCGAGGCATAGGGGCTTGCGCTCTCCCTGATGACCTGCGCCTGAAGCAGTTTGTTAATATGCTCCTTTACAACCTCATACTCTGAGGGAGGTATGCGGCGGTGGCGTTGCCGAACGGGTACATCGTCTAGGAGGGGTATCTCATGAGAGATTAGCTTTGTGCACCCTAGATCCTGGTCGTGAGCGGCAAACACTGACAGATGTTTTCTAAGCACTGACCTGGCTGCTTCGCAATCTTCTGGCGGCAAATGCGACAAGTCTATTCCCTCGATCTGATCGGGAATAGTAGTTGTAGTACCCGAAGCTACTTCTGCGCATATGGATGACACCTCTGCCACACCTGTAGGTAAGCTGACCATGCTCACCTTGTCCAGGGTACCTATGACTGTGCGGGAGTAGAGAAGGGCATCTGACTCACCAACATTCACCACAGGGATGTAAGCTGTACCCCGGATAACAGGCACTAAAGCATTGGATGCCAGAAGCCCTGCAGGAAGGCCAGAATCCAGCGGCTCGAACAACACCGTGCCGTCTGCGAAGTGTTCTGAACAGGTGGCAGCTACCATCTTCATTGCCCCACCTGGTACACGACAGGCCTTTCCACAAACCCGAACTCTACCTGGCTGCAAGGGAACAGATTTGATACTAGCAGCATGACACTTCTGCATAGCATCGGCCAGGGGAGTTGGGAACGACATTGAAGCTTCCCCAAAAAGGTCTGGACCATACTGACCAAAAAGCTCTCTGTAGCATTTACTTATGATGTTCATGCCAAGGACACCTGGGACCTTGAGTGGAGGCCGACCAGGTGGATCCTTCACAACCAGCACTCCACATTGTGGTATCGACTTCCCACAGAGGACAATGTCAAGTTCAAGGTATCCAATGTAAGGTATGGACAATCCATTGGCAGCCTTAAGTTCCAACCAATGACAGGAGTGAAGACGTTCCGCACCCCAGGGCTCAAAGTTAGTTCGGAAGAAGCTTTCCGTGATGGTGGAGACCATCGATCCCGTGTCCACCAGACAAGGCACGGGGGCGCCTCCCATGCCAACGTCTATGTGCGGACACGCGGAGACTAACTTTGGAACGTCTCTAAACCTTGTCCCAGAATCTGAGCCAGTAAATGCCCCACCCGAGCTGTGGCTCGGCAACGCGGTGGGCGCTAGTTTTCCGATGGCTGCCTGGGCGGAGCGCGACCAGACGCAGCAAAATGTCGACTAGGTGGAGCCCATGGCCCATCGCATTCCCTGGCAATGTGACCCGGTTGCTGACAACGACGACAGATAATTGGACCTGATCGAGGAGAACGGCCACGTTGGTGAGGGTGGAGCCAAGCAACACTTTTTGTCAGCTGGTCCAGCTGTTCCTGTTGCCGTCTCAACAGCTCCCTCATCTCGCTTAGTTCAGAAGGTGGAGGGTTTGGCACCGACCGCTGGAAGCCACCTTGTACTGCGTACTGAATGCTAAGGGCGGAGGGGACAGAGTTGCTTCGTCCCCGCATGCCCGCCGGCAGCCCCTCACGTTCCCACCTAAATGCTTCGCCTCTGACGTCAATAAGTGTTGCTGTAGGAGAATTCCTTACATATTGTTTAAGTTCTCGCCTCAGAGTGCCATCCAGTACCTGCTCAACAAATTGATCACGCAAGAGGATTTCATGGTTCAACATAGACTGCGGAGCGCGCTGTTTAACCTTCTCCATTAAAGACATCAAATCGAGAGAGTACTCCAGCAGCGATTCTCCCTCCTGTCTACGAGAGAAAAACGCCTCCTGAAGTGCTACGTAGGATTCCGAACAGCCGTACAAGTCCTGCAAAATGGCAGTAAGTTTGATTGGATCACTCAGTTCTTCAGCGGAGCGGTACTTCATTTCTTCCCGAGCCTCTCCTTCTAAATGGTCATACATGAAAAATGCCTGGTCAGCGGGAGCCAAATGTCTAACGCGGGTGCATGCCTGAGCCTCCTCTAACCACTCGGTCAGGCTAATGCCCGTCCTACCGCGAAACATGGGACATTTTCTATCATGAGGGACAAAAACTAACCGGTCCATGCCAGGATTACTGCGCGCCGCGGAAGCTGGAGGCTCAGCAGAGGTAGAGGGGCGCGGACTACCGTTAGCTACAGACTGCGTTTGCTCTTTCAATCTTTCGTTATCCGCTCTTAATTTGGCTACCAGCTCCTGTAATTCACGCATCTGTTCCTCCATCTTTAGAGAACAGTGAGAAAAGAAAACAGAAAAAAAATGAAAATTACAGCTGCTGTGTTATTGCTCACAATTGTCACGCACCATACAAAACAGTAAAGGTGCAACGCTTTAGTACAATTGGCAGTATGCTAAATAGAATAGTTCAGTACTTACTTGCTATATTGTTC